GAGAAAATCCACGAAAACGCCCATGCAACCAGCTTGTTTTACCGGGGTTCGAACCCCGGAGGTGAACTACCAGTGTTCAGCAACTTTACCGCTCGGCCGTTTGTGGGCCTTTATGAAATGGAAGGCGATAACTTTATTCAAAATGATTGTCAGAAAATACCAAAATGTTTCGAAAAGTTGGATACTACTTTTCAATATATACTTTCAGAATGCTTTAAAGAAACAGAGAAGAAAAATAAATTTTTTCGTAAAATTTAGTATTCGTATTTTTTTTAATTTAAAAAACTTTTCAATCTTATGATATTTGATTCTTGCGATTTCAAAAATAAAATATTTGACTAAAATATGAATAACATTTTAAGAAACCAAATGTAGGATAAAATTGTGTAAAGCAATGGGCACAATGATAAAACTGTTTTAAAAAGCAGTGTATGCAAGTCATCCTAAGTTAAAATATCGGTTATACATCTCTCTTATTTATAATATATATTTTCTGAACGGAACATTGAAAGGCGTGTAAAACTGTGCTTTACTGTATTTTCTCTTTTAATATAGTATGCAGTTTTCAAACGCATCGTAGTCTGGGTTACAAAGTATTCTTTCGAAAAAAACGCAGTTCAAATAAATAAAATCAAATTCTGGAAAATTGATATTATAAATATATTTAAAATGCTCAGTTCGAAGGAATAAATAGAAAATTTTAAAACAATTATCTGAAGAGACAATGCAACACAAACAATTAAAATAAAAGTATAAAAATTTAAAATGACCTAAATAATAGCTATGAGCTATGACAAAAATATATATAAAGAAAACTATTTGAAAAAAAAAAAATAAATAAATAAACGCTGCACCTTTATTTACGCAGTTCGAATAGGTAAATAGAAATTTTTAAAACAGTTATTTGAAAAACAAAACAAAAAAAAAAAAAAAAAAAAAAAAAAAAAAAAGTGCAACTTAAACAATTAAAATGAAATTCGAAAAGAAAAAATTACTTAAAATAATAAGTTATAATTAAAAATATAATATAAAGAATATTATTTGGAAAAAAGGAACGGTGACTTTTTTCCCTAAGGAAACTAGGTTGCCATATATTAAGAAGTTCGCCAAGTGAAGTATTCTTGGCGCAAACTGACAAAAAAGTGCCAACATAAATTTGTGAATTTCTCCGTAAATTTCGCTCCAAATTTTACAAAATTTCATATTTAGGCGTAATTTGAGTCGTAGAATCGAAATATGTAAAAAAATTGGTATGTTATTTCAGAAAAAGTCCGATTTTGTGTCAAAATACCTATGTTAGAATAGTGCTATAAGTAAATCTAATATATATCCTAAGTCGCGCTTTCGAGACATGATGAATTTTTGTCGATCGGTATAGGCGGGGTAGAAGGAGGGCGATTATGACTGTCCTCCCATTTTTTTTTTTTTTTTGAGCAGTGTACATGTACTATAAATAATGCATAACTTGTGTCAAAAATTACCTTTACTAGCACCAAAACACTGATTTTTCCAAAACATTAAATAAAGTTACAAAATTATATATAGTAATGTAACATACAGTATACTAAAAATTTTAATATGATTGTATATGATATTAAACTATACAATGAAACAATGATGAAATAGCACATAACAAATTTTATAAACTGTGAATATTCCAGGAACATCTGCTGTCTTTTGACATTAATAAGAAATATAGTGTTTCCAAATTTATATAGACATATTGCAACAAAATTCAATGCTGTCAATAAAGTAGTTAAGAACAACATTAGAAGTTAAGAACTACTGGATTTACCATTGAAAGAAAGTGCTTTTTCCCCCCTTTTGACAAAAAAGGTGAAAGTTACTTTTCAATTAATCAACTATCAGAAATAAGACCTTACCTTCATGATTACCATAAGGACGTCTTAAAAAAAAAAAAAAAAAAAAAAAAAAAAAAAAAAAAAAAGGAGGGGAAGAACAAAAAAGGAAATTTATCCTAATGGTATGCCTAGTACTGGTTGTATTTTGCCATGTGACAAAATGAGAAAATTGCTCAAACAACTGTTAATCCTAAATTTTTTTTATACAAGATTATTTTCACTGACCATTATTTTTCTTCACACCATTATATCTATGCTATTCTAACAATCATATTCCAGAAAATTAATGAAAATATTCCATATTCTTGGCTTTTTCTGAATGCAAACACATTTAGAATAAGATATTGAGTTAAACTTTAATTCACAGCAAAAAGAACAGAAACCATATCTGCATACAATTAACTAGGACACACATGTTTTCATGGCCATTACAGCTCTAAATTGAAATACCTAGCAAAATCTTTAAATCCCACACCCCCAAAGAGAAACGACAGTATGTCTTAAGACATTCAATCATCTGGCCACTTTCCTAATAGTTTGGCTTACTTTTACATTCCCGACAACTCTCCTCCTCTAGAATTAGATCTGAATACTTCACACCCCAGAAAATTATTTTGACCCAATAAATACTGCAATCAAACCATAAACTATAAGTTCACAAAAGTATGTATTTTGTACAAAGTGTTTGTCTTACATTTGGATGATGTCAAACTATTATTTAAATTTCATAAAATGATTCATCAACATTGGGGAAAAAAATCAGACTGATTGGTATTTTGCAAAATATCCTTATTTTATGAATGTATAGATAAGTTAAGGGTACTTCTGCATTATCCCTTTAACTGGCAAGGCTATATATATATATGGTTTAAAATATTTTTGCAGGGTTTTTAAGAAAGTATATACAGTCAAAAGTCGTTAATTCGGACACCCATAATCCGGAATGATCTATAATCCGGACCTCACAGCTAAAAGCTTTCTGCGCATGCGCCGCATTGACACATGCGCACAAGCGTTTTACACGTGTGCACGTAAGAACTTTACAACGACTGCGCATATGCGTGTGCACAAGCACAGAATACATTTTTCGCCGTGAGCGTTTTATGTATGTAACGGAATGGACGGTATAAGCTAAAATTATCTAATTTATCTATTTCAGTTAATGTTTGATGATTGCGTTGTTCCTTAATCTTCGAATTGGATCCGGTTTATTATTTTTTGCAGACTGTAAGAGCAATTTTATAAAAGTAACTTGAACTTTCGATTATGTCAAATAGAACTTCCGATGCTGGAGCTCCCAAAGATCTACAAAATGAAAGTACGTTCGATGTCCATCAAACAAAAAGTGGAATTGCTGCAAAAAATGGATAAAGACATGAAGAAGGTGAGAGAGGTTAGTGAAAACGAAAAAATTTCGATTGACAAGTTAGTCGGTATTCTTGGCACAGCAGCAATTATGGGACTTGAACAGTGGAACTTGTAACTGAACAAGAAATTATGTCTGTTTATAGAATTAAAGAGAAAGTATTATCAATAAACGAAGCAACTTAAACAACTTACATTGAAAGAAATGTTTAATAAAGTAAACAAATAAATATTAAGCTTTTTTTTTTTGTAAATTTTGATACCCTTTAGATCATAATTGTTCTTTATTTCATAAATTACGGTTTCATGTTTTTAATTTTAGAATTTCTGCATGCCATCTTACGAGATTTAAGCTGATGATCTATAATTCGGAAAAATGGATAATCCGGAATTGCCGAAGTCCCGATGAGTCCGGATTAACAACTTTTGACTGTATATGTATATATACTTCTTGAAATATGTCCAAGAAATTAAGGCAATAAATTAAAAGTGCGTAGATCCAAGTATAAAGTACCAGAATCATTTTGGCATTAAAATCAAGTAAATACATTTTTCTCATGGTTGTTTTGGAAAATTTGGGCCAATCAGAGGAGTAAAGTCAAAACATGCATTTTCAGTCCTATATTGGGATATTTTGGCTTATTTTCCTCCACAATTTTTGGCTTGATATTAAAAATTTTTTTCCTCAACCCCCCAAAGGTTTTTTTCTATTTTTTTTTGTTAAATTTCTGCTAGAATTTTTCCATCTCGATTTCAATTGGTCAGTTTAATTTTTTTAAATTATTGCTACTTAAAGGATAAAATAAATAAAAAAACAACAGTTATAAATATTGGATTAAAAATGATGAAACCAGACTAAAGAAGCATAAAATTAAAAACAGTGTTAACAAGAAATGCAAAATTAAAAAACAGAATTTAGCATAGCAGTGGTCATTTCTCCTAAGAAATTCACTCACCAGATAAATTCAATTAAATCACAGTCTAAATGTGACAAGTACTACCTCGGTGTTTGTTACACCGATAGATTGGGTATAATACTTACTGCCAGAATCAGTGAAATGGTTATGAATGATTTATCCTGAAATATTCCAAATCTCAAATAGTAAAATACATCCCAGAAAAAGAAAAAAAAAAAAAAAAAAAAAACATGAATAGCTGTAGAAACTGATTGTGCAAGCAATGATAAGAAAGATAATTATTGCAAGGAAAAAACGACAAACCAACTACAGATACTTTGCACCAAGAAAACACACACACACACACACACACACACACAAAAAAAAAAAAAAAAAAAAAAATGCATCTTTAACACAAATAAAACAAGTTTAGGTGACAATACATAAAAAAGTTAGTATGCTAGTTCTAGTCAAAGTGACCTGCTGCAGAATCATCCATGTTCATAACCTTACATTATTTGCAACATGCAAACAATCAATTAACAGTGAATGAAACCTAGCCTTAAAGTAAAATAAAAACAAAATTCAAGCAGTATCTTATTGAAACCTGAATTTAAAAAAAGGGGTGTGTGGAGTCACGAGAAAGAAGTATTTTCTTGATTTAACTTCAGAATATCTTTGACATTTTGTATCTGGATTCTTTTCTTATAATGCCTTACTGGTTTAGATACATTTCAAGATGTGTGTACATATATGAGGAAATATTTCTGAATGTATACATACAACTTAGCTAATTGCAGGATTACTGCTATATTATACATGTAAATATAATTATACAGAAAGCAATATACATTTATCAAAGCAAAATAATGCTTACCAAGTAGCTATAATGCAATTAAGAGAATCAAGAACTTGATCAGCGGTCATTCGCTCAGTTGGATTCAAAACAAGTAGTTTCTTAATTATCAAATTTGCATTTTCAGATACTCTACCATCAGCACTAATCAGAAAGAAGAAATTACTGTTAATTTTGACATTCTACGAGGGTAAGTTGAAAAATAAGTTTCCCCTGTCGACTGTGGTCAGAGTTGTGTATGAAAGTCAGAAAATAGAATGAGACAGTAAAGATATGACATACCTTTATTTTTCCACATAGATGCCAAGTACATTGAGACATTTGTCATATCGCTTGATAAGCTTCAAAAAGCCCTCCAGGAAAAAATCAGGGCTTTGCATATGGAAGAAGCGTTGAACGGCTATGGGCGAAAGGCAACACAGCAGGAAAACGTGCAAGTCACCAATACACCATTGGGTAGAGGTCGCTGCAAATCAAGCAGATGGCGCTGTTGCAGTGCCTGCGCAAAGCGGAGACCAGCCTCTCATTTGAGCCCCGGTAGGTATGGAGGGAAGGTGTGTTTTGAATTCGTGGTCAAAGGAGGAAGTGAGAGCGGTTATCCGCTATGAATGGGCACGTGGAGTATCAGGAACAGAAATTCATAACCGCCTCGTGGAAGTCTATGGGCCAGGTGTGATGTCAAAGCAAATGGTGCGGAGATGGTGTTGCACATTCAGTGATGGACGTCAGCAAGTGGAGGACATACCGAGAGCTGGACGGACGCGCACGGCCACTACAGATGCAAATGTCAGGAAGGTGGATGACATGATTAGAGCGAACCGGCATATCACCATCGATGAAGTAGCGGAAGAACTTGGAATCTCACATGAGCGAGCTCAAAACATCATCTACGACATTCTTCGATACAGAAAAGTGTCAGCACGATGGGTGCCCCAACAATTGACCTCGACACACAAGGAACAACGCATGGGGGTCAGCCTGGAACATCTTGTGCGTTACCATGAAGATGGCAATGACTTTCTATTTCGGATTGTCATGGGGGATGAAATGTGGGTCCACCATTTCACGCCAGAATCGAAGGGCGCATCTATGGAGTGGAAACATCCATCATCACCTGTCCGAAAGAAGTTCAAGACAACTCCCTCTGCAGGTAAAGTGCTCCTCACAGTTTTCTGGGACGCCCAAGGAGTTTTGTTGCTGGACTTTTTGGAGGTTGGAACCATCAATGCTACGCGCTACTGTGACACCCTGTCGAAATTGAAAGAGGCGATTCGGAAAAAGCGGCCTGGCCTTCTCACATCTGCCGTTCTGCTGTTGGATGACAATGCCAGACCACATTCGGCGACGGCAACGCAAAACCATATTGCAACTCTTGGTTGGGAGCGCCTACACCATCCGCCATACAGTCCTGATCTCGCACCAAGCGATTTCCATCTGTTTCCGGCTTTGAAGAAAAATCTCGGGGGAAGGCGCTTTGGAAGCAATACTGAAATACTGAAGTGAAACAAGCCGTTCAACGCTTCTTCCATACGCAAAGCCCTGATTTTTTCCTGGAGGGCTTTTTGAAGCTTATGAAGCGATATGACAAATGTCTCAATGTACTTGGTACCTATATGGAAAAATAAAGGTATGTCATATCTTTAATGTCTCATTCTATTTTTTGACTTTCATGCAGAACTCTGACCACAGTTGACAGGGGAAACTTATTTTTCACCTTACCTACGTATATTATAAAATTAAATAGAAATACATGATTGGAAACATAATACTTATTTATCACTTAATTACAGCTGGAAAATACGAACATGGGTATTGAAAAATCTGCAGATTTTATTTTTCGAAATAATACTTGTGGTACAGAATCATAAAATGGGAACTGGCCATATAACATCGTGAAAAGAACAACTCCTAAAGCCCACATGTCACTAGGCTTTCCAAGGTATGGTTTACCTGTAAATAACAACTAATTAGCATCTAGCTCTACATGATATAACTTTAAAAAATTATCTTGGAAGTCAAGAAAATTACAAATTCAATAAGAAAGATTAAGTTGAGAACGTCATGCTTATAAGTTACGATTACAAACAATGCTACCTTGTAGATAAGAGGCTCGTTTGGTTCAAGAAATTAATTTCAATATATCTTTGATTATTAGATACACAAAGTTATTAAAAATCATTAAAACATACTGACTATAAATAATTTACTGATTTTAGATCTGATATCTCTTCTTTAAAGAGGTTATTGGATACTGGTGATATTATATAAATACAGTCAAAAGTCTTTAATCCGGACTTATCGGGACTTCGGCGATTCCGGATTATAGATCATCAGTTTAAATTTGGTATGATGGCATGCAGAAATTATAAAATTAAAAATATGAATTATTTATTATGATCTAAAGGGTATCAAAATTTACAGAAAAAGAAAGCTTAATATTTATTTATTTACTTTACTAAACATTTCTTTCAATGTAAGTTGTTTAAGTTGCTTCGTTTTATGTGATAATACTTTCTGTTTGATTCTATAAACAGACATAATTTCTTGTTCAGTTACAAAGTTCCACAGTTCCAGTCCTATAATTGCTGTGTCGAGAATACCGACTAATTTGTCAATCGAAATTTTTTCCTTTTCAATAACCTCTGTCACTTTCTTCACTATTGGAAGTGAATTATAATGACGAGGAATTTGATTTAAATCATATCAAAGACGGAGTACATCGAGATGAAATACTACATTTAGTAAGGTATTAATAGCTAAATAAAATAAAAACATCTGCCCTGAAGGTAAGGATAGTGTTGACAGATCAACTTCCAATTCATTACGCGCCGCGGCGTCCCCCCCCCCCGGGCAGAGCAGCATGAAATTGATAAACAGATTTCGGAATGGTTAGAGAAACAGAGGATATGCCTTTATCCATTTTTTGCAGCAATTCCACTTTTTGTTTCATGGACATCGAAACGTACTTTCGCTTTGTAGATCCTTCGGCAGCTCCAGCATCAGAAATTCTAATTGACATAATCGAAAGTTCAAGCTTACTTTTATAAAATTGCTCTAACAGTCTGCAAAAAATAATAAGTTAGATCCAATTCGAAGATTAAGAAACAATGCAATCTGCAACATTAATTGAAATAGATAATTAGATAATTTTAGCTTAGCTTATACCGTCCGTTATACATTAAACGCGCATGCGTAAACGTATTATGTGCATGTGCACACGCATATGCGTGAACACATTATGCGTTGAAACATGCACAGAAAGTTTGTAGCTTTGAGGTCCGGATTAACGACTTTTGACTGTACATACTTTCCATTTCACTTCCGCTTACATGAAATATTTGCACTTGCCATCAGTTCATTCAAAATAGCCTCCCTTCTTTTCAACAACCTACATAATGCAGACTGTGAAATTCCGAGTTGTACATAAGCTTCATGGTGGCTGCATTTTGGTAAAGCATCGTATTGCTTCAACAATTCTTGTCTAGCTTTTAAGCTTACGTCCTTGAGTTTGGACATTCTAAGGCTTGACCAAACAACAAAAACATGATGTGGAAGGATGAATTGAATGAATTGTGTGAGCAAAAAAGCACAATTTTTATAGTGATTCTGCCTCCCACCTTTTTTTTTTTTTTCTGTTCCCCTTTCTTCCAACTGGTCTGAGCGAGTTCTGACAAACCACTTGTAGCCCATCCACACCCATGATTGGTCCAGATAAGAAAATTTTAGCAATTGCAGCTCCCCATGTAAAAATGAATCAACCTTGAATGAAATCACCGACTTTGAAACACAAACTTGGGTGTTTTGACAGTTCCAAATAAGAAAATCCTTAGCATTTGCACCTCCATATGTGAAAATGTGAATCGACTTTGAACAAGATCAATAAACTTGAAACACAAATGTGGGGTTTAGAATTTTAAAAATTATTTGATTTTCATAAGCGGTAGTGCTGATTACGCGGTTATTGCATTCATTTCAATCTGTTCCTTATGTCTTGATTTTAATAAGCAGTTGATGTTATAAAGCAGTGATTATATTAAGTGGTACCCACTGTACTGAAGAGAACACAAATCACAGCTATATTTAATTTGAAAATGGACTCAAATATTCTTTATTACAGTAGTATGACATTTCACAGAAGCTTTTACAGAGTTTTGTAAGGATTCATTTCATAAAAGACAATACTGACATTCGTAATATCTAATTTAGGCTTATGATATAATGACAGCATAGCTGCTAGTGAGAAATACAGATACCAGTCATTAATTGGGTTTTCTTCCATTAGTGAAAATAAATAAATAAAATAAATCTCTATTTCTGACAAAAAATTAATCACAAACAAGAAATATATTTAAGAATAATTATAAATTTTAACATTACACATAAAAATGTAATTACATTTAAATTCTAAATCAAAAAGGAAAGAAAAATCATCATTTAGGGCATTTCTGTATAGACCTTTTATGTTTGCAACATTTCATTAAAAATTGGAACTTGAAAACTCAAAAAACAAACAGTTGTAATAGTTGTAAATACAAAAGAAAGTTACATATTAATGTACAATCTAGTTCATAAAATGTTAATACATCTTAGAATTTCTAAAGGAGGAAACTAACATCTACAGTAAAGTACAGAGAAAGAAGAGAATTTATTAGAATAACAGTTAGAATATTAAAACTGCTGGTTTAGGGAAAAAAAGAATTACAGAAAATTTAGAAGATTACTGTAAAAACATAATTTATTCATCAAAGAATGAAAAATATCCCTGATTAAATAAAACAGAATCATGTTAAATAGCATTAGTATAAAAATGATTCTTTGGAGAGTTTTAAAATGAGATTTTAAGAATGTGGGAATATGATTACAGGAAATAAAATAATAAAAAGCCTCATAGGTATTAAATTTCTTTAGCAAAATATCGCACACAATAGGAAAAGACTTTTTAAGAGGTGTAAAAAAAATAGAACAGACCTTGTACAGGTTTTTGCCATGAGATACATTTGCATATGTTCATGATCACTTCCCATTTTCCTGCCACATATAAGCAGGAAATTAAATGTTATGCTTTTCTATTGGATGGTACCTTAATTTAAGAATCGCCATTTCTTGACATATGATCTACTGAACTATCAAAAAATATATAAAAATTTACAAAAGAAATATTATTACTTAACTTACCGCTAAGAACATCTGGACTAATATATGCAGGACTACCTCGCTGATCTTTAAGTAAGTCATTTTCATTAAGCAAATGCTTCCCAAGGCAGAAATTCGTAATTGTTATTTTTCGGGTTTGTCTGTCTAAAACTATATTGCCAAGTTTAAGGTCACGATGGACAATATTTTGCTAGAAAATCAAAAGAATCATTTCCCCTCTTCAGTTATTAAACAATTTGCGAAATAGCAAAATTTAGATATTCAATGATTCATTAAATATTTTCACTCATACTATTAAAAAAAAGCAAAAAATTGTGCATACGAAACAGCAACAAAAAAATTAGCTTTCTTTTAGATTATTTCAAAGAAATAGGAATACCATAAATGCACAAAAGAGAGATCCACAACTGGAAGTATGTCAGGAAAATTCAAATGAACATTGTAAAAGTGAAAAGAATGCTACAAAGTATTTCTCTCCTTTATTAATAAGGAGGCTGATGCAAGAACATGACACATTGCCCTATTTTGCAAACAGGTTACCTTTTTAATTATGCATTGCCATATAATATATTAATCTTATTTGCACTTGACAAATATATAATTTTTCTAAATACTGCACACATATTACTTATACAGTCAAAAGTCTTTAATCCGGACTCGTTGGGACTTCGACGATTCCGGATTATCGGTTTTTCTGGATTATAGATCATCAGTTTAAATCTGGTAAGATGGCATGCAGAAATTATAAAATTAAAAATATGAAACCGTAATTTATGAAATAAAAAGCAATTATGATCTAAAGGGTATCAAAGTTTACAAACAAACAAACAAACAAAAAACAAACAAACAAAAAAAAAAAAAAGCTTAATTATTTGTTTACTTTATTAAACATTTCTTTCAATGCGCGCATGCGTAAAGCATACATTACGCATAATCGAAATTAGAAAATTGTCCCCAGAAAACTAATTGATGTGCATTCGTGATATTTATAATGATGAGGAAATTGATTTAAATTATATCGGTGTACATCGAGATGAAACACTACATTTAGTGAGGAATTATAAGCCGAATAAAATAAAAACATCTGCCCTGAAGATGAGGTTAGTGCTGACAGATTAACTTCCTGTTCATTGCGCGACGCGACGTTCCCCACAGAGCAGCGTGAAATTGATAAACAGATTTCGGAATGGTTAGAGAAACAAATCACCTCTCTGTCCTAATTAGCATCTAGCTCTACATGATATAACTTTAAAAAATTATCTTGGAAGTCAACAAAATTACAATTTGTGAATCGAAATTTTTCGTTTTCAATAACCTCTGTGTCACTTTCTTCACTATCGAAAGGGAATTATAGTGACGAGGAATTTGATTTAAATCATATCAAAGACGGAGTACATCGAGATGAAATACTACATTTAGTAAGGTATTAATAGCTAAATAAAATAAAAACATCTGCCCTGAAGGATAGTGCTGACAGATCAACTTCCAATTCATTGCGCGCCGCGACGTCCCCCCCCCCCCGCAGAGCAGCGTGAAATTGATAAACAGATTTCGGAATGGTTAGAGAAACAAAGGATATGCCTTTAACCATTTTTTGCATCAATTCCACTTTTTGTTTCATGGACATTGAAACATACTTTCGCTTTGTAGATCCTTCGGCAGCTCCAGCATCGGAAATTCTATTTGACATAATCGAAAGTTCAAGCTTACTTTTTATAAAATTGCTCTAACAGTCTGCAAAAAATAATAAGCCGTATCCAATTCGAAGATTAAGGAACAACGCAATCTGCAACATTAACTGGAATAGATAATCAGATAATTTTAGCTTAGCTTATACCGTTCGTTATACATTAAACATGCATGCATAAACATATTATGCACATGCGTAAACTCATTATGCGTTTACGCATGCGCAGAAAGTTTGTAGCTTTGAGTTCCGGATTATAGATCATTCCGGATTAAAGACTTTTGACTGTATAATGCATATATTAAAAGAAACATTCAATCATTTCTTTCTAAATAATGCATATAAAAATAATTATTTTTTACATATTTTGTCTAATAAGCTATGTATTATCTTACAACAAGAACTTCAATTAATCTACGTAATGAAAATATTAGATACACTTGCAAAGGAAGAAGGCACATTATTCCCTATACTAGGGATGCACAACTTGTTGTTTGCGTGGAAAATGTGGCCAGCGAATGGTCAACTTGTGGCCTGCCGAGACCTTTTCAAACTTTTGTTGTGATTGGACATATTGGTTGTCTCTAGAAGGCATTGCAAGCAAAAAAAAAATTCACCATCCCTTCATTACTCATTCTACTCTGTCCCCTTGAAGTGAGATTTGGCATTGAGCCAAGCTTCTGGGGTCAACCAAAGCACACATATGCTGCCTGAACATGAAAATTGCTCCTATCCTGTAGGACCAACACCCGTAAGAAAGAGAGAAAGAGTCTGTGGTATGAAGTAGCACGATTGTGTTTGCATGCATATGCTACTAAAGTGAAAGAGAAAAATATTTGCTCATCCAAAGCGATGCATTTATTTTCTTAGCGTTGTTGCACTTTTGGCTTTGTGATTTTATCATGTGTGTGTGTGTTTATTTTTCTTTTCGTGACCATTAAGATTCATGTTTTGAATATTTCACTTTTTTGTTTAAATACTATTTTGAAAGTGGAACCAATGTAGAATTTTTGCAATTTTTGTTCCATGTATTTTGATAGTTGCCATGATGAATGGATGCAAAATGAAAAGACAGTTAGCGGATGATAACAGGGAATTATTGGAGGCCTGGACTTTGAAATACTTTTTTGTGAAGCAAAATAATAGAATTACATTACTTGATATGTAATTTTACGATTAGTGTTTGCAAGGAGTATAACATTAAGTGACACTATGACATGAAACACTCAACATTTTCAAAGCTTGAGAGAAAGGATCGAAATCATAAAATCAAATCTCTTCGCCGTTCTCTTGTTACTCAAAGGAATGTATTTACAAAGGCATCTTCACACTTGGATAACGCTGATGAAGTTAGTTTGGGAATTGCAGCCTTAATTGTTAAAAGTGATTGCTGATTTACTGAGGCGATTTTGCAAAGGAATGTATATTGTTGGCTTCTGAGGAAGTAGGCCCTAAAGCTATGCAGAGATTTAAAAATACGAGTTAGCAGAATGACAATTCAAAGAAGAATTGAAAATTTATCTGATGATGTTACTAAACAATTACAAAATACTGCCACCAAATTTAAGCACTTTTCTCTAGCAGCTGATGAGTCAACATATATTACTTCAACATCTCGGCTTCTTTTGCTTGTCAGAGGAATTTCTAAAAACTTTGATGTAACTGAAGAACTGTTCGAGTGCGAGTTCAATGACGGAGCGAACAACTGGAACTGATATTTTATCCTCAGTTTTAAATTTGTGTTCTGCACATAATTTTGATATTAACAAACTTGTTAGTATCACTACTGATGGAGCTCCAGCCATGATTGGAATTCAGAATGGCATGATGAGTCTACTGAGAAACCATTTGGATGATAGAGGAAAAGATTTGTTTGGGTATCATTATATCACACACCAAGAACAGCTATGTGTGAAAGAACTACGATTTGACCGCCTAATGAAAGCAGTGAGAGATACAATCAATTTTATTTGCTCACATGGTTTAAACCACAGGCAATTAAAGGAAATCTTAGAACACACAAATGATTACCACATAGTAATTTCATATACAGTCAAAAGTCGTTAATTCGGATACCCATAATCCGGAATGATCTATAATCCGGACCTCAAAGCTAAAAACTTTCTGCGCATGTGCCGCGTTGACGCATGCGCATAGGCGTTTACGCGTGCGCGTAAGACCTTTACGACTGTGCATATGTGTGTGCGCAAGCGCAGAATACGTTTTCGCGTGCACGTTTAATGTATAACGGACGGTATAAGCTAAAATTATCTAATTATCTATTTCAGTTAATGTTGATGATAGCATTGTTCCTTAATCTTCGAATTGGATCCTGATTATGTCAATATAAAATTTCCGATGCTGGAGCTCCCAAAGGATCTACAAAACGAAAGTATGTTTCGATGTCCATCAAACAAAAAGTGGAATTGCTGGATAAAGGCATATCCTTTATTTATCTAACCATTCCGAAATCTGTTTATCAATTTCACGCTGCTCTGCGCGGGGGGTGGGGGATAATAGATACAGTCATCAGAAAATAAAAGAGAAATTATTGCTCCAAAACTATAAGGGCTAGAAAGGAACCACATCTGAATGATAACAAAAGCATAACTTTGCTAGTATATGCATTATAAAATACTAATAATATTGACAGATATATTTTTATAGTCATCATTTTCGTTTTGTATAAATAGTAAAATATTTTTATACTGGCTTTTCTTTAAATATACTTTTCTTTAAAAGCCATATTTTTTAATGTTAGATGTTTTAAGATAAATTTTGGGGGAGATAATCTTCTTTGCAAATGTACATGAAAAAAAGCAAAAAACTTGTCCAAACATAAGGCAGACAGTGAAAAAAATATGTAAAATAAGGGATAAACATATTTAAGCTGAAAATTAACTGAAAAATTTTGATTAGTTAATTTACTATCTTTAAATTTTGTATTCTTTTGCACAACTTATCACTAATAAAACAACTGCAGAAAAATTACATACTGTACTGTATGACTATACATCAAATAATTATTTTTGAGTAACAAATAACACAAAGACTTAAGCATGTATGGACCTAATAAATGTTAGCATAAATAAAATACTTACTTTATGCAGTGCACTTACAACATTGACAACATCATAAAATATTAATATTGCTTCTTTTTCTGACAATTTTTTCTCTCGGATAACATAGTGCTGCAAGTTGATCAAAAATGCAGTTTCGGTACTAAAGTCATGAGCACAAACACAGTCCAAAACTAAACATACACGCTTTTTTTTTCGACCTGTATACCTCAACTCATCATTAATTTCTTGCTCTTCCCAACATTCATCCTGGAATACAAACCACATAAACTTAAACCTCTGGGGGAAAAAAAAAAATCATACAAAGAAAATTACTTATTCAGAAGCTCGGCAAAAATACACAAGACTAGTTATACAGTTAAAGCACTTTAAAAGCTAATAATAATGAATGCAAATTCATATGATACTACTAAAAAAAGTTAATATTCAATCTGTGCAAATCAATATCAAAGAGCATCTTATGACAATCAGTGCAAATCAATAGCAAAGAAAATCTTATGACAATCATGCAAATCTTGATAACAGTGAAATGCATAATGGAAAACTTAGAACATTTGATTCTTGAACATTTGATACTTAGAACATTTGATTCATTCATTTGATTAAACATAAAAATTATCAGATAAAAGATATCAGCTTTTTCATGAATGCTTTCAGTGAGATTCTTACAATAGAGTTTAGCCTAGTATTTATAATCACAGGTTTCCAATGAGTTGGGAATGGTCCCTTGAGGGTCAATAGCCAAATATGCACCAAAAACTGATCAGTATAATTGAAACCTAATTGATTACAAAATATTTACAAATAATATAGATAATTAATTTTTTATTCATGTAAAGTTATATCACACAAAGTTAAATCTTATTTGAAACTCATGAGTATACTCAATTTTAGAATTTATAAGTCATCCAAGAAATATGCTTCAAAATAAAAGTTTGTATGGTCTTCCAGAAGGTCTTCAAATGCCAGGAAACTGAAGAAATAGGCAGTGCCGCCCCTTCCCCCCAAGATTCGAATTCCAGATCTTCCAAATATGCATCGAGCGTGCTTTCAGTTACATCATGAAGGCATGCCAAAAGAAGGGAGAAAATGCCTCATAAATTCCCCCTTTAAAACACTGAATGAGGGCAAAATCCTGGTGATGATGAATTGTCGTCTACCACCTTTTAGTTCAGGTGCCATGAATACGGTCTTATGGATTTTTTTTTTTTTTTTTTTTTTTTTTTTTTTTTTTTATGTCAAGAAACTGAAGAGATCAACTGTGCTCTTGCCAGGATTTGAACTTCGTACCTCCTAAATATGCATCGAGCGTGCTCCCAGTTACACCACAAAGGCATGCAGAAAGGAAGGAGAAAATACCTTATAACCTGAATATGCAAACATACAAATATGTTTACCTCATAACCTGAATACCCCATGCCTGAGACTGGAAATTAAGTACTTTTACAGAGCTTAAAGAACAGTTAATGAAAGAAAATTAAGGCTCTATAGCACATGGGAACTGAATAAATTCAATTAAAGATATTACCTATACCTGAACTTCACTTTTGTAATACCATTCTAAGAATAAAGTAGATCCATAAGTAAGCATTATTATTAAACATAATTGTAAAATAAATTTAAGAATAAAATAAACTTTATAAAACTTTTCAAGTAGCATTAAATATTTCAAACTTATAACAGTTGGACATATTTAAAAGAAGATTAGTGGCATTTTATTGACATTTTACTAACAGCTTTATGCTGACTTTTTTTCTGTCTCATTTTATCCCATACTTGCTCAGTCTAGACATTTAGTAAATAGCAGGTAGATTTTATGTCAGACTGCATAGGTTAAAATCAAAAGTAAAATCATAATCAGCAGGATTCATAAAAGATGATAATTTAATGAGATTATAAATTTAATGAATATATAAACATTTTAGAAAGAAGTTATACTACAACAAAACAGCAATCAATATATACACACACATATATATATATATATATGGCTTTTTCCATATTTCTTCAAATAAAGCGGCTTCTACTTCGACCGTCAGGGCCTCACAGTTGCAGCCATCGCTATATTGAAAATTATCCATGATCCTTCAGAAGCAGAACTTTTGTCTGATTGGTTGAGCTGTATGTGGAACGCAGTTGTGAACGAAACATTTTCGGAAAATTTTCAAAATGTTCCTCGTAGCCGGGACATTCCTTTCTCAGCTAGATGGAACATTCCTTGGAAACCTCCCATTTACACCAGTGCTACTAGAATCTCGTTTCTCATAAATGTCCCAACTAGCAGTGCGTGTCTCTAGATATGATAGCCCCTTTAGAACTTAGATAATCATTTCTCCCTTTTAACCTGGTACGCCAACAGAAGAAAACCAGAATGTATAGCCTTCCATGCCAAACAAACATCGGATTTTTTCTAGATGTCATTTATACAGGATTAATCAGATAGAAAAATGCTGAATCACCCCCTATGCACAAATGAGGGTCAGAAATTAAAATGAGTTTAGTTAGCACAGCGATCTCCAGAATGGAGTATACGAAGTGACACTTGGTGGTATGCCAAAGGTACACTCATGATCAAGTGTGTCATTGTATTACAGTTTTTTAAAAAAGGGATCATTAGAAATTTTTCCTTCGGTGTTTGATTTTGCTCCTGAAAATGAAGAAAATGTAGAATAAAACCAGTTTACCAATCTTTCTAGTATTAAAACAGAATTTTAATGGGCCATGAACCCATTTGCTGAAAATGTAAAAATATATCATCTTTTGAATGTAGCTGAATAGTTAATTCACATGAGAGAAACAACAATCTGATTGCAATCCGATTTTAATGAAAAACTGTCTTCCTAATTGGTGGATATGATTGAAAACAGAAATGTAAGCATTAATGCATTTGGTCCTAGATATCTGTATAAAGTAAAGTGTAATGGAAGTATGTGCATACTTTTCTAAAGTTAATTTTTTTAACTCTATAAAAGTAAGTGAGGTCTATACAGTCAAAAGTCATTAATCCAGACTCGTCGGGACTTCGGCGATTCCGGATTACAGATCATCAGTTTAAATCTCGTAAGATGGCATGCAGAAATTCTAAAATTAAAAATATGAAACCGTAATTTATGAAATAAAGAACAATTATGATCTAAAGGGTATCAAAATTAAAAAAAAAAAAAAAAAAAAGCTTAATATTTATTTGTTTTTTTTATTAAACATTTCTTTCAATGCAAATTGTTTAGGTTGCTTCGTTGTATGTGATAATACTTTCTCTTTAATTCTATAAACAGACATAATTTCTTGTTCAGTTACAAAGTTCCGCTGTTCAAGTCCCGTTAATTGCTGTGCCGAGAATACCGACTAACTTGTCAATCAAAATTTTTTCGTTTTCACTAACCTCTCTGTCACATTCTTCATGTCTTTATCCATTTTTTGCAGCAATTCCACTTTTTGTTTGTTGGACATCGAAACATATTTTCGTTTTGTAGATGCATGTGCCAACGGGGCGCATGAGCAGAAAGTTTTAGCTTTGAGGTCCGGATTATAGATCATTCCGGATTATGGGTGTCTGAATTAACGACTTTTGACTGTATATATAAATAAGGAAGAGTCTGTCTGTGTGCATGTTTTTCGTGCTGCATGTAAGCTAATACACCCAGGGCTAAGAAATTTGGTACATAGGCGCGTCTAGACAAGAACCAGTGCACCTCGAACAATTTTTTTCAAAATTCGAATGAGATTTTTTTAAATTTTATGTTTTTTAATGAAAATGCATCAAATCCCTAATTCACTCTCATAATATCAGCAACAATGCACACAGCCATTATTGCTGATATATTTCTGCTGATATTATTGTTGATATCAGCACTGTTGCTACTCAGAAGAATGAGGGTGATAATTCTGTACAGTTTTTAAATTTAATGTTTCTTTTGGATACTGGGCGTTTGTCAAGAGAGGGCAATGGGAAGTTGGTTAATTTATTTATAAGGATAATTAATATTTGTATAAAGGGATATTGCTTAATTCATTGCAATTTTTTATATGTAATATATTTTTATTGAAAAAAAATTTTTTTTGTTTTGTTTTTCCAAAAGTTCTTCTGCAAAGTAAAACTCTGTGCAGTTTTTAAATTTAATGTTTGGTGTTCCCTTTAGACATTTTTCCAGCACATTTAAAAGGCAGAGGACGGCTGGCCACGTAGCCGTAGCGGCTAATAGTTCATACTTTTGAGTTTATTTTGATAATTGCAAAAATAACTACACTGTTTAAAAATGTAAAGAATAACAGTGCAAACATATTTGGGGTAGCTTTTAGCTTTATCGGACTCATTTCATTAAATAATATGGGTAAAGATTGGAAAAAGAAGCAAACTGTAAAAAAAAGAGAAAAGTTCACACCCAACTGTGTAGTCTCATAGTAAATATGAATAAAAAATTATCCTCAGCTGCACCCCCAACAGATACAAGGCCCTATAAAGAGTCATTTATGGCAGCACAGGATGTAAATAGTTAATCACATAATTGTAATAAAATTTACATGCAACTATTAAATGGAGTGGATTGTGTGTTGTAGCAAAGCACATTAGAATCATCTGCCTATTAGGAAGTATACAACTTTGGGGAAATTTTTGAGAGAAATTGCCTTATTATTTTAATAGAAAGATATTACACATAAAGAAAACCAATGAAAACCCTTTGGTACTTGAGAAGTTAATGGCCCCTTTGGTGCCTTGGTGAAAACATTAAGTTTGGGGCGGTTATATTTCAGCGATTACTTTTAATATATATTATCAAATGCATTTCGTCATCCCAATGTCTTTCTCCACATAAATTCTGCTAGGTATGATTGAAGATGATGGTAAGCAGTGCCTCTTTGTTTTTATTTTGCCACTTCGCAGAACCCCAAAGTCACCCTATATTTTGCATGTGTATGCCTATAGTCGAATCCACAAAGTGGTATTTATGGTTTACAGTCACATAATAATAACATGCTTTTTCAAGAGCCTCAGTTTTATAAACATGCTGTAACATTCCCCTTCTCTGAAGAATGCTTGGTCAACCGCTCTAAACCAAGGGACAGAGGACCCTCTTCTCGCCTCGGCCGGAAGAGAGGAGTGGACTTTCCCCCTGGTCAGCAGGTGGGAGTAAGAAGAGATTGAGATGTGGAAGAGAAAAGAGCGGATGCTGGTTTGCATGCTGTACTCTAGTGAAAATGTATTTTAAAGTTTTTCTTAATTGTAATCTGTACATAGTTGTATATAAAGA